TTTTAATTCTAAAAACAGAAATTCTTACAAATAATTCAAGGTCAAATATTCTAATTAAATTAAAATGGGAAAAGAATCTGCATAGAATTTTGTCCAAGGAAGAGAGGTAAATGGCCAATAACCACATAATAAAGAAAACTCATTAGTTTTTATACAAATAAATGCAAATCACAAAGAGAGGCCACATCATATCTTTCAGAGAGTATATAATAATTTAAAATAATAATACAAATGCTCACAAGGATATGGAAAAGCTGAAACCCCTGTATGTTGCTTTGGGAAATGGAATATGATGAACTCACTTTTAAATAGTTTGGCTGGAACACTGTAGACAGAGTTTCTATGTGGTTCAGGAACTCTGTTACTAAGTGAAATGAAAACTTATCTCTGTGGAGCTGGAGAGGTAGCTCAGTGGTTAAGAACACTGCCTGTCCTGAGTTCAATACCCAGCAACCACACAATGGCTCACAACCATCTGTAATGGGATCCAATGCCATCTTCTGGTGTGTCTGAAGTCAGCTAGCTATAGTATACTCACATAAAATCATTTTTTTAAGAAAGAAAACTTATGTCCACATAAAATCTTGTACATGAATATTCATGACAGCATTATTCATAGTAGTCAAAATTAGAAAAAAACAAAATGCCAATCACCTTATGAATATATGTATAGAAAGTAGTGTGTTCATATAAGTCAATATTTGGTTATAAAAAGCTATAAACATGCTGCAACAAACATTGACCTTGAAAACATTATGTACAACAAACCAAACCAAAAACTAAAGGCCATATTACTTTCCGTTTCTATAGAATGTCAACTAATCCATTGAAATGGAGAGTAGATTAGTAGTTGCCAGGGGTAGAGGGAAGGGTGGAATGGGAAGGCCCTCTAAAGAGTATAAAGATTCTTTTTCTCATAATGTATTTTGAAAGTAGAGAGGACGATTTGAAATGTTCCCAACACAAATAAATGATAAATGTCTGAGTTAATTGAATAAACTAGTTACCTTAATCTAATCATCCATACTGTATACATGTATAAAAATATTATTAAAATACGTACAGTTATGAATCAATTAAATCTTATAATAAGTTTATTTTTGAGAATTTCATACATGTCTACCATAAATTTTAATCATATTCAGTCCCCAATCTTCCAAGATGCCTCCAATTTTTAAATACATATTTAAATATGTATTAGTGGAATTAGTGACAATGGTTGTACAACCATATGAATATATTCAAAACTATTTTCTTGTACACTTCAAGATGGTGAATTTTATGTTATATGAATTATTTCTCTATTTAAAAAATGTTACTGTGTTCAATGGCACATGCCTTGAATTCCGGCACTTGGGAAGGAAATGCAGGTAGAACTCTGTAAGTTCAAGACTAGCCTGGTCTACATAGCCAGTTCCAGGACAGCCAAAGCTACATGATAGAGAGACTGTCTCAAATAAAAAAAAATTTAAAAAGGAAAATTTACCGGGCAAATATTAAACTTAGTAAATTTATTACAGATATATTAATATCAAAGAAGATTGAGATTGTGGTCCGATATGATAACAATAACCAACTTTTGATATTACCGAAGATATAGCAGTTCTAAATTTATTTGTAACAAGGTGGCAAAACTAGCAAAATTATTAGGCTACTTTAACACATTTTCCACAATGATTGGTAACCCAAACTCCAGCAGAATATTGGAACCCTTTAGCTAAACTAACAAGCAAAACTTAAGATAAATGAGACACATAATGTAAAATATAACCTCTTTTCAAGTACCCAGAGAACAGTCACCAAATGTTCCATAAAGCAGATTTCAAGGACCTGGGATCATACATTTTGTTTTCTCGCAGGAATGGAATTTGAGTGGACATGGCAATGACACTGACCTATCTAAACAGAGCCAGCTCAAGGGCTGGCACTTACTCCAAGAGGTGCCCTGCTGTCCCGAGCATTAACCTCTTAGCTGCTCCATGGTAATCTACAGGGGCCTAGTGGTCCTGGAATATAGACTGTGGCGATCATGACAACTGGGCAACTAGGTGAGTGACAGACTAACCAAGTCCATGGCAAGGTTTGTTTATTAAATGGTCTGGAAAGATTTATGCATACACAGAACATATAGTAGGCCAACTGTAGATCAGAAAAGGAGAAAGCTTGGAAAATAAATGAGATGAACGTCTAACTCCATTACTTAAAAAATATTCAAAGAGAACAAGCTATGAATAGCCACTAGAAAGATAATTAAGCAAAAATAAAGACAGGACAGGAACAAACAAAAAATGAAGCTTAAAAAAAGGCTGATTTTTTTTTAGAAAAAAAACAAAAACTAATAAAACGTTCACAATATTTTTTGAGGTAATAAAACAGAGGTACAAGTGAACAATGTTGTTAGAGAGTGTACTGTAAAATGAGAAAATTTTTTTCAATAAAGATAAAGTTTTTAAAAGGATGCACATATAAACTTTACATCAACTTGAAAACTTGTGAAATAGTTAATTCCCAGAAAATCATAACTTAGTAAGTCTAAGTAGCAAACAAACAAACAAAAAAATCTATAACTTTCAAAGAAACTGTAACAGTTAAATGGTTTCAAAGACTACACTGTTTGATCTGAAAGTTCTGCCAAATATTTGAGGAACAGATAGTTCTGGAACAAACTTTTGTCAGAGATGGAATGAAAGAAAATAGTTCTCACCTCATTGCATGATGTTAGTATAACCTTGACATCAAAACCAGAAAAGGAAAACATGAAAACAGAATCTCTCCTGAAGAAAATACTCAAGTATTCAACAAAATTTTAGTGAACTAAATCTAGAAGTACCTTTATGACCCAGGACTGCAAGATTAGCTCATTAAAAAGAAAAAAAAATGTAGCACAAAGAAGTTAAATTTAAAAAAAATCATGTTGTATATCAATAGATATATAAAATACATTCAATTCATTCATTTCAACACCAACTCACTTTTTAAAAACTATGTCAAGTTAAAAATAAAAAGGAACTTCCTTACTCTCCTAAGAGATATCTGCAAAAAACCCTATTTACTAAAACCTAATTACTAGGTTTGCCAAATACAAATACATTATACAAAATATACTATACCAAACCAATTATATATATAATATATATATTACATATATATACATATATGTAGCATCATATATACTACTATAAAACAATTTCTACAAAAGTCATGCATATAGTAACAATTTAGTTATTCACTTAGGAGTATCTTGGGTACACAGAACAACGGTAAAAGTAAAAGCAGCCAAGTGATGATTTACGAGCATCTGTTCAGGGCTAGGCTCAGGACTTGATGCGGGTATAATGGTGAATAAGAACAGGCAATCATGCTTTTGTTTACTAAGTGCATACTATGGGATGGTCATTCTTCTTAGCATGTTACCTGCTGTTTATCTAATCTTTTCAACAGTACTGTTAGCAACATCAGTTTACAGGTGAGGGAACAGAAGCAAAACAAGGCTAATAGGCTTATCTAAGTTTATAAAGACAGGAGGTGAGACTCAAAGCTACATCTGGTAAGTATTACTCTTATGCACAATTAAGGAATGTGGAGCTCAGACTTAAAATGAATGTATTTTTTTCTGTCCTGTGGGGCGGGGGTGGTGGTGGTGGTGCTCTTGTACTGCTTTTGAAATGGAGCCTTGCTATACAACCCTGGCTGGTTGAGAACCTACTGTGAAGCTAAGACTATCTCTCAAACTTGCAGCAAGTCCTTCTGAATCTACCTCCTGAGTATTGGCCATGGCCAGCTCTGTTCTGTACCTTCTATATGACTGCAAAGTCATTAATGTATATTATATTATATTGCCTCTCCGACTTGAAAGGCAGATTTCTCAAGAATATAACGGGTTCATTCTGGAAGACCTATGTATGCAGAACCTCATTCTATCTCATCCAGACTCCTACATCTCCAGATGAGTAATTAGAATTGCTGATGGACAATAGAGAACAGGATTCTGGATTTTGTCCTCTTATATTCTTCATCCTATGTACTAATCTAATATCCTATATCTCCCTGAAACTGCTATGATGAAGAATTGTTCCCCATATGCATTAGGCCTACCCCTCCCTTAACATTAAGAGTCCGGCAACTTCCTCAGCTGTTGTTTGAGCTGTCCGAGTCCTGCAGTCCACAGATGTCTTATCTTTAGCCCCCTTCTGGTCTCTCAAGCTAGGCTGGAAACACCTTGTTGCATGATTATCCTCGCTTATCAATGAGAAATTGTATACTTCGGTTTCAAAGCCTATTCATAAGCTTTGCTTACTTTGCCTCTACTCCTCCTTAAAAATTTCAAAGGTCTGAGCTTTAAAATAAAGAAAGCAGGTCCAATTAGAATGTTAAGCTCCAACTCAGAAACAGACCAGGCTTTGTGATACTGTCTTTCCTCTCAACTCTTCAGAACAGCAAGACTGCCTCTAAATGTCAAGGCAAAGTACTCAGTCATTCCCAGCCGGGGCAGGTACAGACTTATTTTTAAGAAGATCGTGAAAGAAGAAGGGCAATGCTGACCAGTGACATGGTAATGTTGTGGACTCAGCACCTAGCCTCCGAGACATCATGCCAGGAACCATCAGCTTCTTTTACCCTGGCATAAATTAAACGAGACCTGTTTCCAGATCTTTCGTAAGAGGAGCTAAAATAAAATATTCTCGGGTAGCACTACACTAAAATGCTCACATTCCAGACAAGAAGCATTCTGACAATTTCTCGAATAAAGAGAGACAGCCCTTAGGTCAGGGGTTCCTAAGGTTTGTGTTTTTATCTAAGCCTCATCCTTTGTCTTCTCTACCTGCCTTTCTCTTACTTCCTTATCCTTTCTCATATTAGCCTCTTGTTATACTCTAGCAATTTCGTTCAATTGATCATCTATTCCAACTTCTATGTGAGGATAGGAGTGGATGGGGAGCACCGTTTGTTCTTCTCGACCCACCCACCACCATCACCCACAAATGTCAACCCACACTTACAGCCCCTTCGCCGCTGCAGCACACTGCTACTGCTGCTGTGTGGAATCCAGATCTTCTGTAACCTGGTTTGAGTGAGTTCTCCCATCTCTCCAGACATCTTAGGCGTTGCAGCTAATGACACCACTGCCCACAAGGTATTGGACCTCACTTCCTATGTTCCTAGCTGTCTTGTCTGTTGCCACAGCAGCAGGTGGGCAGGGCTGAGACAGGGGGATGTTCTGAGCTTCTGAGCCTCTCACGGGTTATCTCCAGCTCCCTCTTTTTCTTCTGCTCCCGGATGTACAAATGGGGATGTGGGTGCTGAGAGCCAGAGGCTGAGCAGAAGTCAGCAGAGGCCTCTGAACTCCAAGGACTATGTACATAGAAGATAAGTTGGAGCCCAGCAAGGAAGGCAGCCAGCAAGGCAGCCCAGGTCTGGCCAGTTACTTCCCGCCAATGGAGGCAGGACTAGTAGAGTATGCAAATAAAAGACCAAAGATCATGTGCTTACATCCTGTGTTGTGTGGCATGACAAAGGTGATGGAGATAGGTCTAAGCTTTGAAATAAAAAAAAGCAGGCCTAATTAGAATGTTAAGCTCCAACTCAGAAACAGAGATTCATTACAAGGGCCTCCACAACAAAAACCACAAACATAATGTTCCTAATTCAAAATGCAATGTTTTGAGCTAGCAATTAAGGGCCCAAACTGGAAGTAGACTTTCACTATCTCACCGCTCACCCTATTCACCAGGGCACTTGTAAAACTGTCTTTCCCTGGAGTCTGCTCCCTGCCCCTCCACAGGACCTCACCCTCTGAAAATGAGCTGTCTTGGGCACTCCAAAGAGACTGGTACTATCTGATCATTTTTATACTCTCTCCAGCCAAGGTTAAATAAATCGGAGTAAATCTGACACCTTGGGAATAAGAGTGAGGGCAGCCATTGCTGGGCAGAGAGCCGATAAGTAAGCGCAGCCCACATGACTGCCAATGCTGAGATGACCCAGCACTAAAGGCATCATAATCTAATTCAAACCCGGGCTAAAGCTCTTTGAGCCAAGGTGTTGGGATGTAATCTTAGGAGAGGTGGACACCGCACTGAGGAGAGTATGAGGAACAAGAGGCAATGGCGTCTATCTAAATAGCACAAATCCGTAGGCCAGCGACATTTCATCCAGATGTCCACCTGTCACTAGTCCCCAGTCTTATTGCCATTCCCCCATTTATTTTGAGACTTTTATCTGTAGAATTTATGCAACTGCACGGCTTGCCTGGAAGGTGTCCAAGTGGCCTTTTACTTCATTCTCCGTAACCTTCCCACCCCCAGCAAATCTTCAGTGATTGGGTATTAGGAAGCTCAACTTTCTTCCACTGAGCTGGACTATGCAAGGGCAATCTCTGGGGAAAAGAAATCTCCAGTCCTTGCCCTCAAATGCTCCCAGCTCTACTTTGCCTTTTAAGACACTTCCTAAAATATCTTCCCAGAACCTTAGTCTATTCAAGGGTTAGATTCACTCTAGTTGCTGTGCATACATCATATAAGACTTCCAACACCAAAGCCTACTTATCTCAAGGAGCCTACTGAGGCAATGGATCACAGCAGTCAAGAACAATGGAATCTGAAGCCACACTGTCTGGGTGGAATCTCACTTCCGTCCATTGCGAGATTCGAGAAACCAGACAGATTAAACTTTTTAGTGCCTCAGTTGCTCTCTGTTTTTTTCTGCTTTCTCATTTAGTATATAGGGAAGGATAGTGGGGTCCATTCCCTTGGTGTTAGGGAAGAAACCTGGGGAATGCTGAATACATATTATTCAACACTGTTGCTTCCTTTGGGAAGTAAATGATTCATCTTTTTTCTCCCAAGTAATCTGCAAGTTCTAGCATGTTATTCTGACACAGGATTAACATTTATACTGTAAAGACTTCCTGAAAATCAATTAGGAAAGGTAAACTCATTTCTAGGTTTCTGTTAACTTAAGTCTAGCATAAAACATCAAATACTACATGCTCTCACTTACTGGCCAAACCTAAAAGAGGTTGGTGAGGAACTAAGTATAGACTAGTGGGCAAAGGAGAGGGAGAAAGTGAGAACAACAAACAGGATGGATTCTGGTAAATAGGAGGAATAACTTCTGATATTCTAGAGCATATTTGGATAACTATGGTTCACAACAGATAATTGTATACTTCAAAGTAGCTGGTAGGGAGGAGAAATAATAGATAGTCGAGGTGATATGTAAAGCAATTAACCATTGCACATTATATGCATGCACTGAAGTATCATACAGTACCACACAATTATAAAAAATTATGTATCAATTTAAAGTAAAACATATAATATAACGAGGTTTTCCAGATTAGCAGACAATTCCTAGAGTCTCATAAATAGACTTTGCAAGACTCTTAATCCTAGTAAGTCACATAATTAGTGGAAGTCTGTTTTAATGATCTTACCATGACTTTGTATGTTTTCCAGTGCCCACAAAGCAACATTTTGTTTATCTTATTTGTTTCTTTCAAACATCCCCAGAGAGGATGGCTTGTCCAAGGTAATGTAGCCAACAACATGAACATGTCTTTTATGTTTACAATTTTGTTCTTACAACACTGCCAAGAATCAGGAAGATAATTTTAGTAGCAAGAAATCTGAGCTAGGTGGCTAGAAGGCCTCTGACAAGGTCTGAATGAGTAAACTCAGGGTCCAGGATTAACACCCTAACTTAACCCTTCTATAGAAACTTCTACTGTTAACAATTCTGAGACCAGAAACAGGAAGAAAAAAAAAAAACAACAAGCCTTAGAGAAATGCCTCAGACCATTCAAACCTCTTCTAAATCAAGTCCGAAGCTACCTCCCAGTCTTCTATCACGCAGACCTGCCATGTTTAACAGCACTAGCTGATTACAGAGCCCTCAAACACAGCATTTTCCAGGAGTGTCTTCTAGTCTCACTGAACTCTGTCTTACTCATCGAGACCAGTTTTAGTGTTTATTTTCTCTGAAATTCGGCCTTGTAGCCTTGAGAGAAGCTTAGCCTTCAGTTCTCACATTGCCGTGTACCTCGATATGAGGCAGGGTTTCTCTGGTCTGGTACCTAAGTTGATTGTGGGCTCCTTGAAGATGGGGCCTGGATCCCTGTGATCTGCTGACTTGTTCATCTCAGGCTCTGGTATGGAGGACACTTACTCAGTGACCATGTTCACAATGTACATCTCTCTGCTGCAGAAGAGATAAACATGATGGCAAGAAATCCCAGTTCACCATGGTAGACATTATAACAGCTTTCAGGGAAATGGATGGGGGAGCTGCTTTGTCTGAGGTAAAGAGTGGCATCTAAAAAAATCTTAAAACTTTAGGGTGGAACAGAATAAAATTATGAAATTCTAAGAAGGTTTAATGTATTGGCTATAGACACAGGGTTCACTCAGAATCAGATTCACACTCAAGGCTAAGAGCTGAACCATAAAGCAGAACTATCTCTAGGGAAGACAACTCTGCAGTGTGACGTCTGGAGAGCTATATAGAGCCTGCTCCCACCTCCATGTACAGTATGGAGAGGAAGCTCATTCAAAGCATCAAGATAGTACAGATGGGCAATCAAGTCATAAATGGGGTCTACTTATTGGTAAGTCTGGAAATGTGTGGTTGTGAATGCATTTGTTATAGGCTAGAAGGCTGATGGATGGTCACATGCTTTACAGGCTAGATTCATGTATGAGCACATATCAGGACATCTGTGACAGCAGCCTAGAATCCCTTTGTTCTCAGCAACTGCCCTGGCTCCATTATGCCACTGTTTTCAGACTCATGCCTGCTCCACAAAGCTCAGTGCATTCTCATCTTAGGAGTGGTTCTCCGTTGACCATAGTCAGTCAGGAAGGAAAGCACGTAGAGGGTTGTGAGTAGTACTACCTGCGGGCACCACATAAAAGCCAAGAGTATGAATCTCAGATACAGCACGAAAGCCCTGAAGCAAAAGAACGCTGCATTCTGCCTTCTACACTTTCTTGATTATCAGGCCAGTCCACTGTGGGAAGTAGGCTAGGGACTTTAATTTCTATTTTACTAAGTTATCCATTGACACCCAGAGAAACTAAAGAACTTGTCAAAGTTTCATAGCAAATCAACCTGACTTAATACACTAGAGGAGAGGTTAGAGATACACTCTCTATTGTGCATTTAATTAAAAAATATACATATATTACAGAGGTGGATGCAAGGCTGGGAGGATCACACAATCACAGCCAGTCTGGGCTACGTAGAAAGTTTCAGGCCCCCATGGGAAGCACAGTTAGACTCATTTTTCAAAACTAAGTAAAATAAAACAAAAATTGGAATTTTAAAGATAGTAGGGGATTGACCTTTAGGTCAGTGTCCTAAAAAGTCAAGTGCAAGTGGATTTTAAAATACTGACAGTAGGGAGGAGGCAACATCTAGAATGTAAATAAATAAAATAAGTAATTAAAATAGTGACAGCTGGAGGCAACATCTAGAATGTAAATAAATAAAATAAGTAATTAAAATACTGACAGCTGAATTAGATATACATATCATCATTCCCCAACTCTCCCGTCCCCTTCATTATAGCTAAATCAAACTCCTATGCAGAGAAAATCTTCCAAGGAGCCAGAAACAAGGATTTTGACTTGTAAAAGACCTGTCTACTTTTCCTTTATGCTCACCTACCTGTTCTCTTAGAGGCTTTTTCTTCCATCGCTAATTATCCAATGGCTCTCTTGCATTTACAGACCCCCAAAGCAGGTCCAGTAGGTGGCATCAAATAGGAAACCCGGAGACATCCATTGGTTCCTGGGAAGGCTGAGGAAGCGCCCTTGTTAAAGGGTGTGTGCAGTGTTGAAATATTAGCTGCTGTACTTGCCAAAGAAGTTCCTGAGCCACCCAGAGCCTTTTCTCTTCAGTCCAACCATGTGTTCACCTTGCCCCAAAGGTCAGTACTAATATTAACAAGTCACTGGAGAATGGAGAAATTAAAACTAGCTATTGAGGTGAGCAAGATCTGGATTTCCTTAGGACAAAGCTTCAGATCTATCTGCCTTTAGTGCAGTATGGGCAAAATCCCTTGCTTGAAAGCAATCTGGCAACATGAAGAAAAATGTTCATTTCCCTTTTCCTAATTAACCCACTCCTGGGATTCGATCTTTAGCTGGTAACTCCCAACACATGGAAAAGCTCAAGGCACAGAAATTTAATTACAGAGCTGTTTTTCTGATGGCAATAACTAGTGACCTTTAAGTCCTCTGGGGGTGGGGGAGAAGCCCAATGTAGCAGCCACTGAAGATGACTCAAATCCTGTGAAATTCTGAGAGTGTGCTATTCCAGTGGGAATAACTCTGTAGCAATTTTCAGTGAAAAAAAAAA